ACACACACACACACACACAGGTGAACACACACACACACACACACAGACGAACACACACACAGACACGAACACATACATATGAAAACAAACACACAAACACACACACACACACGGACACAAACACACAAACACACACACACACACACACACACACACACACACACACAAACAAACAAACAAACAAACACACACACACAGACACACACAGCTAATCAGAATGTTTGTTTCTAATTTCTGCAATGTTATGTTTAGATATGCAAATGATGCATTATTTCATTTAATATGCACACATTTTGCATACATTTCCAGAACAGAAATCTGTACACTGGATAAAGTGAAGTTCAAAATTCAAGTTATTTATTTATTTATTTTTTTACAGAGGGATTGTTGGAGATCTCTTTTCTTTAGTTTTAATCACCATGTTTTCGGAATAAAATGTTAGATAAATCAGGTAAATGTTATATGAAGACACTCCTCAAAAACACTCGGAAACACTAGGAAAAACACTAGGAAAAACACTAGGAAAAAAAACTGCACAGTTAAATTAATATGTAATATAATGCTACTGAAGTGGATCAGTGCATGAGAAAAACTCATTTTAAGAAAATAACCTTTAAAGATATGTATAAAATAAAAATAAAACAAAAACTTAAATGGATGTTGGGTGCTTTCTCTCCACTAGTCTGAAAAAAGATATGCTATGGAAGCAAAATAGCCCAAAATCTCAAAACTGACCAGTTCATGACAAAACAGTGGATTTTGCATGTAGTGTCTTGCTGTAAGTGACATTTTAAATGGTTAGTTGACTGTAAAGCATTCTCACTCTCATGTCATTTAAAATCTGTATAACTTTGTACTGTGAAACTGAGAAGGAAGAGACTGCGAAAACATACTTTGACTAGGGGCTGCCACAAAGGACAAAAAAGTGCTATTAATGCTCCAAAAAGCCCACGTTCATGCAAATCACAGACTATGTACATAGAATTTTGAAGTTATTACAATTAAGACATTGCATGATGATCACAAAGCAGTTAAACTTTATACTAATGGAAAGCTTAGTGCTGATGCCACCACTCACTTCTGCTGATAGTCCTTGAGCAGTTTCTTGGCTTTGCTGTATTTTTTATCCAGAGCTTCATATTGGCTCTGCGTGTCATTGAGCTGCTCGTTGATGCTTTTACAGAGAGCCTGAGCCTCCAGCCAGTTCTTCTCCATCTGAGCGATTCTCTCAGAGTTCTCCTGAACGCTCCTCTCTAACTGAGCTTCCCTCGCCTCCCACGCCGCACGCTCCTCTGACGACTCTCTCAACTGCAACAGCAACAAAACCTTATCAGTTAAAGCACACAGGAACTGCTGTACGTTTGATATAAATGGATAAGATGGTTCATAAGTCCGTACTCTCTCTTTCAGTTCATCTACTTCGGCTTCTGCAATGGTGTGTTTTATCTGGAGCTGAAATTAAAACAGAATATATACAAAATTTGGAAATCGTTAATGGCAATCTATTATAAATAATGGCTCGTTTCCACCGAGCGGTTCGGTACAGTACAGTACGGTACGCAATTATGTCCGTTTCCATTATCAGAAGTTGTTAATGGTACCAAAATAGCAAACTGTACCGTACCACTTTTTTGGTACCCTTCCGTTGGGGTACTTAGCAAACGGTACCAAAAGGGTGGAGCTAAACTCACTGCAGAATGCTGATTGGTTGACTGGAATCGTCACTTTTGCGTGATACAAGGGGATAAAGCTTCTTCTTCACTCGTTCCGCTCTGTTGTACATGAGTGTTGGGCTTATTAACATCAGAGTGCACAAAACACAAAAAAATATAACCGTGTATTTTATAATTTCACGCCGTTTCTCAATGTGCGTTCTTGTGGACTTGTGAAACGTCATTGCCAAAAAACCCGCGTAAGTTTCAAAATATTACTGTTATTGTGTCACGAAATGTAGTTTTAAGAGTTTTTCAGGCGAGAATGTAGTTGTTTAAAACTCAAATCTGCGGTGTATATTTATAAAGATAGCGCCTATTTGAAAATTTGCTATGCCAATTTCGGATCTATCCGCCTAGAGCAGCCTTAACTCGGCTATCCTTCCGACATTTGCCGCTGGCTCTGATGTCTCTGTAGTGATTAAACACGAGATACAATTAGTTTTGGGTATATTTAACAGGCATTCGTGGTCTCGTGAATCTATTATTTGTTCCTGGTCATATCGTTTTGGCTGAGCACAAAGTTGTTTCTATATTTATTTTGAACTTTACTGTAGTACAGCGCTTACTTTGTAGCATACGTTTGACTGAATTGTTTGCTTTTGTCTTTATTTCCTCTTATATAAGCCTCTTATACTTTTATAATGGCTGTTATTGTTCATTAAAACAGACATTTAACAAAAAGAGGCAGAGTTGTACTTATTGTCGCGCTTTATCGTCGATCGCTACTTTCCGGCATAGACCACGCATCAAGTACTGTTGGCGGTGGAAACGCAAGCTGGATCAGGGTGTTCGGTCCCGAATCGTACCGTACCGTACTGTACTGACCCGTACCGCTCGGTGGGAACGAGCCATAAGTGAAATGAAAAGCACCAAAAGTCTGTTACCTCTTTAAATCTTAAAGTTAGTTGAGCGGCGTCCATGTTTGACGGCAGGAACATCTCCTCGCTCTCGGGCAGATCGTACACTTCCACATTCCTCCTGCCGAAACTCGAACCAAGGATGCCATCCTCTCCCCCTTCCTCCTCATCCTCGTAGTGCTCGTCCTATCATGACATCAGAGACACAGACATGATGCAACGCAATGCAAAAAAAACAAAAACAAAACGAGAAACAGCCAGTCCAAAAATAGAGCAAAGTTAAGAAATAAGTTAGGAATTAACAAAGTAACCCAAGTATAACGAAAATTGTGAAAACCACTGGTGAAACATTAACATTTCAGAATTCAAAAGCGTAGCATACCTGCACAGGTACCAAAAGCACAGTGGTTCAACACCGGTATAAACCCCACTACGATTTTGAATAGACTCACGAATCTGTTTCCTCATTCAGCATGGTGGATTTTTACATATTTTTGCATACTTGTGAACATTCAACAAAGAAGTTCTGGCTAAAAAAGTCTGAAGGTGTTTCTGTGCAGGATTCCAGTCTAAACATGCAGCCAAATTAGAAAAACTTTGGCAAAATGTTGCAGGAGAAAAAGGTACATTTTCAATAGCGCAGCAATGCATAATGCACAGCTCACACAGTGAGTCATTTTCAAACAAATTTCCTTTCTGCTGGTCAACACAGCAATTTCACATGGAAAATTCTGCTCCTGTGTTTTCCTATTGAAATGACTGGATTTCACAGAGCAATGGTAATTGTGACAGCACCTTAAAACCTTCTGACAACCAAAGATCCAAATACACCTAAAAAGATATGTCTGGACCGAGCAAGGTGGCAAGGTTTGACTAGTTGACTAGTCTAGTTAGCCCCTGCTGGTAGATGTCATAACTAAACCAAAGCATGTTTCTTTATAGAAATCATAAATATCATGGGACAAAGCACTAACTGAAGAAGCAAGCACATTATAATAAATGCAAATGCAAATGCAAATAAATATAATTATAATAAGTCTTTAGTGAGTCTTTGGGAACTATGAATTAAAATGCACAGGAACAAACACAATCTTACTGATATTGAGCTACAAAGTAAAGTAAAAAAAATATATATATATATACATCACAGTGCTGGGTAGTAAGTGATTACATGTAATCTGGAAAGTGTAATCAGATTCCAAAAATGTAGTACTTATGATTCAATTAGATTACTTTTTAAAATACTTCGGATAATAATCAGATTAGTTAGACTACTTGTGTATGGATTACATGATTACAAATTGCATTACACAATGGCAGTAAATTATTCATAATTTATTGATTGTCCCTAACTCTTCCCTATTATACCATGTATGAGATATATAGCTACGCAAGTTACTAAACACCACCAATGTATAATATTTAAAACATGAAAGACTTCGACCATGTCTTTGGTGTTTTCATGTTTAGTTATGTTTGTTCACGTGACTCAGGGATTCCTAAACGTTTTTGTCAGTAAAACCCCATTGATATAAAATATTAACTTAAAGCCCCCGTGATTTGAAGTTAATATTTCAATAATTTAACAACGCATTCACATGTTCTCTGATATTGGTTAATAATCATAAATTTTATTTGTCTTTGTTTTAAAAAAACAATTTCAATCTATAAACAAGTTAGGTTAAAAGTAATCTAAAATAAACAAAGAATGCATGAGTAATCTAAGAGTACATTACTGACTGCAATTTTCATCGTGTTATTTGTAATCAGTAACAGACTACATTTTGTAGGTAACCTACCCAGCACTGCACTCCAAACGTGTACAATGTGTTAGCGCTGATGTAAGAAAAAGCCCATGAGTTGTGTGTTTGACTGACCTCTTCAGTGGACTGCTCGTATGTGTCGTCCACCTGCTGCTGCTGCCGCTCCTGCTCCAGGGTTTCACTGATCAGGCGTGCCACCTCACTCTGAGTACCAGGCTTCTCTCGGCCAATCAGAAACCTGAACGGCGTGATTGACAGGTGAACAAGGAGGATTACGTGTATAACGTATACTGATCGGCGTACATCATGTAGAGAGGAAACAATGGAGCCTGTGTGAGTGTGTGCATTGTTTATTTGCATGTGGTGAACTCGTAACCTTTAGCCCAGAGCAGAGGTCTCCAAACCTGCTCCTGGAGAGCTACCTTCCTGCAGGCTTCAGTTCCAACCCTGCTCCAATACACCCGTCTGTAACTATCGAGTAACCCTGAAGACCTTGATTATCTGGTTCAAGTGTGGAGAATCGTACAGATCCAGAACCTACAGTTCTTTACATGCAATCTAGCAATCACATAATTAACTATGCCATAAGCTGACTGGCCTGCAGCCAGTGAAATTGCTTGCTCAACATTTAAATTGTCTGGTTCAGTGTTCACTGCAAGCTGGTCCTGAAGCACAGAAACCCTCCACCTCCCTCAGCTCCACCTGTCTATCATTCGCGTATGCCTGTTCGTTCAGCAGATCTCATATGGTCACAGCAGCGTGTCTGTGTATCTGTTAGCAGTAGCAAGTCCATATTTGCTCTGCAGCAGTGCGTGTAGCAGATCTAGTCTGTTTAATACATAAAACACATAAACAGTCATATCCATTAACGTGCTAACAAGATTCTGAGTTGTCACGATTGAACTGTAACTATAAATATTTAATACAAATTCTAATTCTATGAAATTAGTGAAGCCCACACCCCATCTATTACAACAGAGAAACAGTATTTTGGACTCACTTTCAGAATTTTTTATTTTTTTTTCAAGAAATTAAGCAGACTTCTGTGATGACATCTGTGGTGATGGCATACAGCAGCTAATGACCACACTAAACTAGGCTAAATGTGAGATTTTTCAGTTCTTTCATAAAACCTCTAACCCATAACAGAAGACGTGATGTGTATGTAACTAATAGACAGAGCAGGACCAACCTTACAGTTCCCTTCGTGTTCTTCAGGACGGACGCAGCAAAGAGTTGCGTCACACCAACCAGACCGATGCCATCCACCTCCACAATCTGATCATTCACCTGGATCCTGGAACAGAATATGACGATGTTTAAGATATTAAGATGACAAAAAAATATTGATTTCATACAGTATGTCTCTTAAAGCAACCATCAATGTAAACAATTACACAGAGAACAAACACCTCAAACCACTGTTGTGAAATGTTACATTTAAAAGTAAAATTACATTGCTATATTCAGTTTGCATTATTGTTTATTACTAATAAAACAGACCATAATGGGATCGTATTGTCTTATGAAAAGTAGTCTTTTAGATATGTTTGCCTAAAGTGGTATCTGCTCTCCAAAATAATAGTGTTGCACGATATACCGGGACTAAAAAGGTATCGTGATGCCCTGCTTTAAATGGTACGATTCCACACTTTACTAGTACCGGTTTAGCTTGACATAAATATTACTTAATTTAATGATAGTGCTACTAATAAAAATATTAAACGAAATTTAAGGAATATTTCCCAGAAAAAAATATTTCCCAGAATTTATTTACCAGAAAATTGTATATATACAGTGTTTCTGAAAAAATATAATAAATTCATTATTTCTAAAAGCGAATTAATCTTTATAAAATAATTAAACATGCTTTTGATTATAAAAATTTAATGAAACTATTAAAATGTAATCCAGAAAATGAATGGAAAACATATTTTAAAATTTTGATAAAAATAAAACTGATTTTGAGAAAAATAATAAAACGTATTTCATAGGGCCTTAAAAATGTCTTAAACTTTTAATAAATTGATGTGTAACTGTGTAAGTTTCATGATTTCAATTAATTAGACATGATTTTGATTCATATTTTTTTAAAGTAACCATTAAAATAGAGTCTAGAAAATTAAAACAGAATCCAGAAAAATGAAAACTCTGAATTTGGAAAAAATAAAATGGAATTTGGGAAGAAATAAAATGGATAAATAAAATGGCCCTATTTATTTCATTTGTGTCTTTGTTTTATTGTATTTGTCCTTTAGTTTGTTACGTGCATCTATGTTCTTATTATTAATAACAAAGTTAAAACTTTTCCTGTTGTTCTATGTTTTTGTCATAGTATCGGTTCAGTAGTAGTATCCAGATATTTTAGTCAGGTATCGTATCGAAGTCAAAATTCTGGTATCGTGACAACACCACGAAATAATCTAAATTGCAAATGTGAGGTCCCACGGCATGCGCTCACGTTTCAGTGCATTACTGTAGCACTACTAGTCAAAAGACTGGAATAATTACGATATTGGAAAATATAATATTACTGATTATAATTATGAATATGTTTTAAAATGTAATTTATTCCTGTGATCAAAGCTGAATTTTCAGCATCACTACTCCAGTCTTTAGTTCCTTCAGAAATCATTCTAATATGCTGATTTTTTAAAATCTAACTTAACCCAAGCTTTTGAGCTCCAAACAAGCTCCAAAACATACAGTAATGAAACCCTCCTTTCATTCCATCTAATTCGTACTATTGTAAATGTGCTGCTAAATGCTGCACTGTGACATGTGAAATACATCTGGGCAAGGCACAGATTGCTAACACTTCTCGCACCTAATCTGACCCGCAAACTATACCACATGTTTATGACAGAGACCCAGCTGGGTCACTTTTTCCAAACAGCACTAAGCATTTCAAAACAAAGTCGGCAGTTGGCAGCGAGTGCTGAGATTCACAGGAAAGAGGAAGAGTGTGTTTTCTGTATTGTGACACAGTCATAAATGCAGTGGTTTGGACAGAATGTTTAACAGCCCACCAGACAGATCAAACATGTGTGTCCTGCTCCAGCTGCCCTCAGGAAGCAGCACATGAAGACATGCCCACCACTACTGCAGCCGCAAAATCACCCCAAACAGGGCTCACCAGAATATATACCGTTCAAAGGTTTGGTGTCGCTACGATATTTTAATGTTTTTGACACTAATGCCCGGTTCAGACAACCCTCTACGGACACCTTGGCAAGTGAATCGCCATTGGCTAGTAAATTTATGTTTCTTGTCCAGGACACGACAAGATTTTAAGTCAAAATCGTGTAATCTGACACGGTGACTATCGTGACTGACAAAAATATAGAGTAGTCTGAACCCGGCATTAGTCACTTATGCTCACTAAGGCTGCATTTATTTGATAAAATACAGTAAAATCAGTAAGATTTATTTGAATACAAGTTCAAATGTAACTTTGTCCTGTGATCAAAGCTGAATTTTCAGTATCATTACTCCAGTCTTCAGTGTCACATGATCTTCAGAAATCATTCTAATATGCTGATCTGCTGCTCAAGAAACATTTCTGATTATTATCAGTGTTGTGCTGCTTAATATTGTTGTGGAAACCATGATACATTTTTAATAAATAACAAAAGAACAGCCATTTTTGATACGGAGTTGTTTTGTAACAGCGTAAAAGTCTTAACTGTTATATATGCTGAATAAAATTATGCTTCTCTCCAGAAAAAGGACTGATAAGGACAATATTACAAGCACACAGTATCAGAGAGCCATTTGAGGAGATGTGTGGTCTTACTTTTCCAAGCAATCAAGACCTGTTTTTTCATCTAATGGATCCACAGTGAATCTCTGCTTGTTCTAAGAAATTCTATTCTGCCGGTCCAAATGTTTAATCTAAAGATCTCACCTGCCATCTCTCTCTGCAGCTCCGTCCTGCGTGATGGTCTTGACGAAGATGCCCAGTTTCTCCAGACCCTGATCTGCCCCAACACCCATCCCTATAATACTGATCCCCAGCCCTTTATCACCTACACGAAGAGAAGAGAGAGAGAGCAAAAAGGTAAGTTTGCCTTCATAAATTTTTTTTTTTCCATTGACTTTGGAATTGTTATGCAATAATTGATGCAGACATGTACAGCTTCTCCACAGTTCAAACAGGCCATTTATCATTAACACATGACTGCCAACATTTACATATTAATACCCCTACAGTGTTCAGCATCTAGGCAGGGATGTCCCTACTCATTTCACATGCAAAGAGGCTAGCCAATCACAATGGAGATCATTTACGTACAGACATTACATACAGAGGTGCAGTCACGTTTACCATTGCTCTGTGCCATATTTCATGGCGAAATCCAGTGATTCCAATAGAAATCTGCACAACTGCGAGTTTTCGTGTGAGGCCGAAAAACTTCCCTCTGCGGATTTCTCTCATGTTTAAGTTGTTCACGTGAATTTGCCACATTGATCAATAAAAAAACTTGGTTTGAAAGTGATTTCCGTTTGACCTGCGCTTCATACTTCTCTACACTATTGACAGTGGGCCTAGTTTTGCCCACAAAATTTTGCTAATGTGACCACACCTTTAAAGGTACAGTAGCAAAAACAATCTGTTTAATTCTAAGGGTCAGTGAGATGGAAAAGTGAGCATGAAAGTTTTGAGATGTCATGAAAGAAAGAGGTGCAGAACATGGTGTTTAAGTATGACTGATTTTAAATCACTCAATCTCAGAGAGAGCTGGAGTATTTTGTGAAAGACACCGCCTCACCTTTCTCGATCTCCACGGGAAACACGTCCATCTTCTCCACCCGTTTCTCCAGCTCATACTCGGCCGACGCCACCACAGGATCCACATCATCGTTCCTCCGGTCGTACTCTTCATTAGAGAACGTGCTGTACACCTGAAGCCCCAGAAACAACTGCCAATTACAGCTGACGGCACAATAACTATTCATTCACTTGCATCATCTTTCAGAGTGCTTATTATGTGTTTTATTACGATGAGACCCCTTCCTAGATCACTGGTCAGCATTTCGGTTAGTGCAAGAACACTGGGCGTATCAATGAAACCAAAACATCAAAGCTGTAATCAGCTTCTCTACAGTCCTGCCAAAGAAAGGCTACAGTATCAGCCCAGTGAAAGCAGCTCTTATCTACTGCAGAGAAAATCACTTACTACACACACACACACAATCATTTATCCCTTCTTTATAGTCAGTGAAGTTAAACAAAATAGACGTACAGTGAATATATATGATGAATTGATGCAGAAACAGTCTAATGAAGCACAAGCAACAATCATAAAATACATTTGAAAAATGCATACAACATATAAAACTCATAAACATAACATAAACCTCAGTGAACTAAGCCACAGCTGAGATAGTGAGAGGACATGGAAAGAAAACTTGTGCGGCACTCATTTTAATTTTCGTAATTTTATGAGATCATTTAATTATTTTTTTCAGCCACAAACACAAGAATTCTGACTAAAAAATAAAATAACATTTTCTTTTTGCAGATAATTATCTGGTCAATTATCAAATTTTCATTTTTTTCCAATTAAATTATACTTGTATAAAATTCCAAGTTTTCTTCATCCCACAATTATAACTGTTATCATTTACTCACCCTAATGTCATTCCAAAACCATACGGTACAACTTATTTTCATTAATGGAACATGTGTCATAATGTGAAACACCTAAACATGAGGGCAAGTAAGAGTAAGTATGACAGAGGTACACTTTTTTATGCCTCACATACTGGACTAATGTTTTTGTTTTTTAATTATTTTATTATTATTATTATTATTATTTATTTGGAGCCTGACAGTCCCTATGTACATTCATTCATTTTCATTTTATTTCATTTTTGCAAAACAATCCTCTATTTTACAATAGTTGTCCTTTTTGTTCCAAAGAAGAAATTAAGTCATACAGGTTTGGAACAATATACAAATTTGAGAAAATTTGGCCGAAGTATCCCTTTAAATAGTCTATCAAATATTTTCTCGATTAATGAAAAGAGTTAAATGTGTGTGTGTGAGAAATAGGATAGGTCACTGGGCTCCACTAATTATATTTTATTGGTCTGAGAGTAGAAATTTGAGGGGAAACTCAATATAAAATGAATCCAACTGTAGACAGAGTTAAACTAGCCTAAATAGTATTATTTTGTGGAGAGACACACAGACTGGGCTCCAAAGTTCCATTGCCAGCGCTCTCTCTCGCGCTCTCTCTTTCTCTCTCACACACACACACACACACACACACACAGGAATCGTTATGATAAAGATGCCACAACTATGATACATTATCTTATGACCACCCACATTTACATATAATTCATGTATCTGTTAATAGGTGAGTCCTGATGAAAGACAATTTAGTCTATTTTGGTTAGTAAGACTTAACCAGTCCTAGCAGCGCTAACTTGCATAGATGCCTTAAGGTACAGCAGCAAAACATGTCGGTGTATTAAATTACAACCTCTTCAGGTGTAAAAAATCTTGACTAACACAGGACTCGACACTAAGAGCTGGCCCAGAGCCAGTGTGAAAGATGGTAAGGATTGTAACAGGCCCGACTGTGAAAGTTTATCATTCACACAAGTTCTTAAAGGGATAGTTCACCCAAAAATTAAAATCCTGTCATTAATTACTCACCCTCGTGTCGTTCCAAACCTGTAAGACCTTCGTTCATCTTCAGAACACAAATTAAGATGTTTTTGATGAACTCTGAGAGCTCTCTGACCCTCCCATAGACAAAAAGAGTCCTTACACGATCAAGGCTCAGAAACGTAGCGAGGACATCGGTAAAATAGCCCATGTGACATCAGGGGTTCAACCGTAATATTACGAAGCGACGAGAATACTTTTTGTGCGCAAAAGGAAAAAAAAACTACTTTATTCAACAATTTGTCTCCTCCGCATCACCCTGTAACGCCATTCTGAAGAAAATCCACTGAACGTAAACAGCATATGCTGTTCTATATCTGACCCTATGGATGGTCAGAGAGCTCACGGGATGCATCAAAAATATCTTAATTTCGAAGATGAACGAAGGTCTTACGGGTTTGGAACGACACAAGGGTGAGTAATTAATGACAGAATTTTCATTTTTGGGTGAACTAACCCTTTAAGTCTAGCAACTTTAAACATTCAAGCGATTTTTAACTAATCAAGCACAAGAAGACGTGAAAGATACATTTACCATTCGCTCACTGTCTGAGATGGTTTTCTGTTTGTACACACTTGAATCTGCTTTTCAGAGAGGGTGCAAATGCTGAATTTAGTTATCTTTCACTTCATCTTGCACTTGAAATGAACACATACACAAAATGACTTCAAACCGGCCATCTTGGCAACTTTAAACATTCAAGCGATTTTTAACTAATCAAGCACAAGAAGACGTGAAATATAAATTTACCATTCGCTCACTGTCTGAGATGGTTTTCTGTTTGTACACACTTGAATCTGCTTTTCAGAGAGGGTGCAAATGCTGAATTTAGTTATCTTTCACTTCATCTTGCACTTGGTTATGACTTGTTGTGTGAACACAAAAAGATGTGAAAAAAATACCTTTGGATATTATTTAATAAAAATGAATCTATATTTAATTTATGCAACTGATGACTATGCATGTTATTTTAGATTTGATTTCTTTATTCAGTTTCTGTAATGTGTCTCACCTGAACACTACTGAGATGCACCGAATGTTCGGCAACCGAAATTATTCGGTTAAAAAAAAAGCCCTTTCGGTGTTCAGCCGAATAAGCGAAAAGACTAAGACCGAATAAATTGTACCGAACAAGGACGTGACGCGATCAAATAGAGGGGTGCGCTAATGCAGCAAACATGTCGGCAGTGTGGAAGCATTTAAAACTGTCAGAGAAAGACGCAAAAATATTTACAAGCACCGACAGCGAGAGACTGTTTAGTGCTGCATCTGCATCGCATGTCTCCGATGAGAAGAGGAGACATGCTGGTTACTGTATGATGATTGAAATCGCGAAATGGCTTTAAACAATTAAATTAAAAACTGCCGAACGTTATGTTTCATGCATTCAAACCGCGCTGCGCGAGCTCACAGTGCCAGGGTTCAAAGTCCAAAGCGTGAGGAAAATCTGCACTGAAACAGTGTTACTCGTCAGTTGCTCAGTAATTTTTATGAATTTTTACAAGGCATGGATGTGACAATGTGAAACGTGCAACAAACATCTTCCCAATATCTTAATGAGAATCATTTATAAATCTGCTGTTGTCAACAAACAGGCGCACTGAGATCTTCCTGGGGTTTCTGCCAAAATAAACGCTCCATCAACATTCATAAATGTTAGTATTGTAATTTTACTTTTGTTCTGTAAAATAAAATAAAAAAGACAATAATAATGACAATAATAATTACAACAGCTATATTAATACATTTATTATAACATCCACACATAGTGTTCAAATCAGTAATAGATTTGTATCTGTGGGATCTGAAATATTTTCTAAAATTTTTAAAAGAATTCTCTTCTGCTCAGCAAGGCTGCATTTATTTTTACAGTAAAAAATACATGCCTGATTCAAGAAGGGGGTCTCAAAAATTACCTATAAAAATTACCTATATATATATATA